CCTTTAAATTTTCAAATTTTGAGATTCTTTGAAAGGCATCACTTATATTTTCTTTCGTGTTATCAATTATTCACAAACTTTATATATCCACATTGCGGATTCTTAATTATCAGTGTTTAAATTCCCTGTGGTAAATGTGAATCTTGGTCTAGCTGTTGCCTGTTATTTATAGTTCCAGGCTCTTGTGCTGTACTGTAACAGGTTGTTATGTGTTCAGGAAATAAAAATTAAAGAATACCAGAAACGGGGGGAAAAAAAAATCAGGCTTCTAAGTATACTGGGGATAAAATGCTTAAAAATTAACTACAGATGACTTTTGGATTATCCCTCTAGGATCACTTCCTCAGAACCTGTGAAAAGATAACATCTAAGTGTGTACATGTATGAATGTAAATTTAAACAAGTCAGTGATACTTCCTTTCATATAATTTCCAACTGCAAATTTTAAAAATGTCATTATGAGCTTCTTTTTGCTATTATTTTCCTGCCATTCTAATTTACTTTTTCCTTTGGACAGAGGCTGATATTTGCCTTAAAATAATTTTGATTTTAAAGCATCTGAGTCTTTTAATATAAAAATAGAAGAACAAGTCCAGCAAACACTTATTAAGAGCCTACTATGTGTAGCACACTGTGCTAGGAATTGTAGGAGATTTAAAATTTGAAATAGAGTCAGTCCTTAACTGAAAGGAGTTTATAGTCTAGTAGTGGCAAGGTAAGATCTATGAACTAGCACTGATAGCTAGTTACATTTCACAATATTGCATGGGTAGTGTTTTAGAGAACTAAAAACAAAGTACTTATATGATCTGAGGGAGTGTTACCAACCAAACATACAAGGGAAGAGTCATAGGGTTAGAACGCAGTGGGGCCTTAAGGATGATCTGGTCCAGTCTTCTCATTTTACAGATGAGAAAACAGAGAGCCTGAAGCTACATGATTTTTTTCAAGGTCACAGTGGTAATAAGTAACACAGGCAAGATCTGAATCCCAGTTTTCTGAATTCAAATTCAGTGAGACTTCCACTGCTTTATTTTGGTTTCCTACAAAAATGAATGAAGAATTTATTAAGCTTTTCCTATATGCAAAGCACTGTGCTAAGAGCTGGAATACAAATAGAAAAGTCAGTCTCTCAGGGAGCTCACATTTTAATGGGGAAGATAACACAGATGGAAGGTTTCAGCTGCAAGTGAGATGGAAAAGTCTTATTGTCCTTAGGATGCAGCAGCAAAGCAGATAGTTATACCTTGCCTTTACTGTCATTTCCACTGATAAAATCATATCATTTTCTTATATGAACCATTTGACAGGGCCAAGGGCTTTGGTGACAAAAATTTTCTTTTCTGGGTCTTTAGTAGATGTGACTGTGGCACTTTTAGGAGCATTTGCCAGGCTTCATCTCAACAAAAGTTGCCTCCCAGATTGTGGCTGGGGGCACTGAGCTGGAACGTTGCTTGTTCCCAGGGCCCTTGAGATCAGAGTCCTAGGCTGTCTGCATCAAAGTCAGAGAGGAGATGGTGGTTATAATGGTTATTCTTGCCTGGCACATGCTGCCTTCTGTGTTTTCTCAGGGCGTCCTACTGACTGAGCCAGGCTGGCCCACCTATCCTTTGAATAGCAATTTATTGGCAGTTGGTGGGGATAGCTGCCACCTTCTCCACAGGATTTACCCCACATGATGGGTGTGGGTGCTGGGCTGGAAGCAGGACAGGTGTTCGGGGGTGTGCTGTCGCTCCCAGTGTTGTTATATTCATCTACCAGTTGGTGGAAGTTGTTCAGCAGTTGTTGCTGGTGATGATAATAAAGACAGACCCTTCACAATGATTTCTGTCCTCAGTGTTGGTTGTGGGGCTTGAGCTGGAGGCAATCTACTGGTTTGAGAGGATACTGCTTATTCTCAATGCTCTTGCTTTCAGGGTCCTGGGCTATCTCCATCAGGACCTGACACATGCTGCCTCCTGTTTCTGCCTTAGGAGCTGCTATTTGAATTAGGTTTGAATTCAACAGGTAAAGAGGGGGAAAACAAGGTCATTCCAGGCACTGGGAACAGTATGAGCAATGTAATGGAGATGTGTGAGTGCATATAATAAAAAAAGTTCACTGTATCATTATTGTTTATCGTAGCGTATGTTTGGAGGAGAAAATGTGGAGGTGAACACTCATTGGAATTGGCTCAAAGAGGAAATAACATATATACTCAGTTGGATATAGAAATCTATCTTAAGGAAAATTGGGACACTAATGCACTCTTTGTGGAGTTATGAACTGATCCAACCATTCTGTAGAGCAATTTGAAACTATGCTCAAAGGGCTATAAAACTATAAAACCCTTTGACTCAGCAATACCAGTAGTAGGTGTCTGTATCTTAGAGAAAAGGGCAAAGGACTAATTTGTACAAAAATATAGCAGCTCTTTTTGTGGTGGCAAGGAATTGGAAATTGAGGGAATGCCAATCAATTGGGGAATGGCTGAAGAAGTGGTATATAATTATAATGGAATACTATTGTGCTATAGGAAATGATGAGTGGGATGATTTCAGAAAAACATGGAAATACTTACATGAACTGATGCAAGGTGAAGTGAGTAGAACCAGGGGAACATTGTACAGAGTAACAGCAATATTGTAACAATGATCAACTGTGAATGACTTCAATATTGTCAGCAAAATAGTGATCCAAGACATTTCCAAAAAGACTCATGATGAAAAATGCTAACCATGTTCAGAGAAAGAACTAATGGAGTCTGAATGCAGATCGAAGCATACTATTTTTCACTTTATGTTTTTCTTGGTTTTTTTTGTTTTTTGTTTTTGGCCTATGTCTTTTTTCACAACATGGCTAATATGGAAATATGTTTTGCATGATTACACATGTATGACCTCTATCAAACTACTTAGCATCTCAGGGAGGATTGAAGGAGGGAGAAAACTTGGAATTCAAATTTTAAAAATGTTAAAAATTGTTTTTACATGTAATTGGAAAAACTAGAAAAACTAGAAGCTAGCTTAATGGGGGAAAACCCAATAAAAGAGGTAACCATTGATCAATTTGATTAAAATTTAAAAAAAACCCAAATTACCAATATCAAAACTTAAAAGGCTGGATGCACCACCAACGAAGATGAAATTATGCACAATGAACACATTAACAAAACACTTTTTACACAAATAAAGTCATATCTAAACAACTGGAAAAATATTAATTTCTCATGGGTAGGCTATACCAATGTAATAAATATGACAGTTCTACCTAAATTAATTTACTTATTCAGTGCTATGCCAATCAAACTACCAAAAAATTATAGTGCTAGAAAAAATAACAAAATTCATCCTGAGGAACAAAAGGTCAAGAATATCAGGGGAATTAATGGGAAAAAAAAATGTGGCGGAAGGGGGCTTAGCTATACCAGATCTCAAATTGTACTACAAAACAGTAATTATCAAAACAGTCTGTTACCAGCTAAGAAATAGAGTGAGTGGTAGATCAGTGGAATAGATTAGCTATACAGTACACAGTAGTAAATGACCATAGTAATCTAGTGCTTGATAAATTTGAAGATCCAAACCTTTGGGATAAGTACTCACTATTTGACAAAAACTGCTGGGAAAACTGGAACGCAGTTTGTCAGAAACTAGGTATATTTCACACCATATACCCAATACAGTTAAAATGAGTACATGAGTTAGACAGAAAGGGTGATACCATAATCAAATTAGGGGAGCATGGAATAGTTTACACTGTCAGATCTATGGATAAGGGAAGAATTTATGACCAAATGAGATAGAAAACATTTGGGGATGTAAAATGGATAACTTTAATTGCATTACATTAAAAAGATTTTCCACAAATAAAACCAGTGCAGCCAAGATTAGAAGGGAAGCAGAAAACTGGGAGGGAATTTTTTTACAGTAAATTTTTCTGATAAAGGCCTACTTTCCATATATATAGAGAACTGAGTCAAATTTATAAGAATACAAGTCGTTCCTCAGTTGATAAGTGGTCAAAGGATATGAAAAGACAGTTTTTAGATGAAGAAAGCAAAGCTATCTATAGTCAATGAAAAAATGCCCTAAATCACTATTGATTAGAGAAATGCAAATCGAAACAGCTCTGAGGTATCACTTCACACCTATTAGATTAGCTAAGTGACAGAAAAGGAAAATGACAAAATGACAACTATTCTGGAGAGCAATTTGGAACTATGCCTATAAAACTATGCATACCCTTTGACTCAGCAATACCACTACTAGGTCTACATTCCAAAGAGATTTTTAAAAAAGGAAAAGCACCTCTATGTACAAAGCTATTTAAAGCATCTCTTTTTGTTGTGGCAAAGAATTGGAAATTGAGGGAATGCCCATCAATTGGGGAATGCCTAAACAAGATGTGGTATATGTGATTGAGATAAAATACTATTCTATAAGAAATGACTAGCAGGATGCTTTCAGAAAAACTTGGAAAGACTTATATGAACTAATGCAAAGTGAAGTGAGCAGAGCCAGGAGAACGTTGTACACAGTAACAACAATATTGTATGATGATCAGCCGTGAATGATTTCGCGATTCTCAGCAATGCAGTGATCCAAGACAATTCTGAACAACTCGTCATGTAAAATGCTATTGGTCTCCAGACAAAGAACTAATGGAGTCTGAGTGAAGATGGAAGCATACTTTATTTTTCTTGGTGTATTGGGAAGGAGGATGATGCGTTTTCTTTCACAACATGACTAATGTGGAAATATGTTTTGCATGACTGCACATGCATAGCCTACGTCAAATTACTTGCCTTCTGAATGAGGAGAGAAGCAGGGAGGGTGGGACAGATTTTGGAACTGAAAGATTAAAAAAATCAATGTTAAAATTGTTTTACATGTAATTGGAAAAAATAAAAGATTAAAAAACATTTGATAACTAAGTATAAAAAATCATAGAATATATTGGTATACTTCTGGTTGTACATTTTTGGACAGAAGAAAAAATTACTGTATTTTATCTTGCAGCTGATACAGGTGATGATTACAATATGGAAAATTTGATGTCTGAATATGTTGAAATGGATCGAAATCTGAACCAGTATATAACAGCAGTTGAAACTACCCTAAATCAGGTATATTTAATATTTGTATTAGCCTACTTTATATTTTCCTGTTGTTTAGAAAATCTCAAGTGACAGAAATTTGAAAATATTTCTGAATTATGCAAGCCCAAGTTAACTGAGATGGTAAATTTGTATTTGATTCTGTTGGATCTTCTGTTCCAGATTATTTTGTTTAAACTTGTTCATACTGTAATTACTTCTAATAGATTCCTCTGAAATTCCAAGAATATAAGCAAAGAAACAACCTCCCTCCAAACCCCAAGTTTGACATAATTGTTCTTTGTTAGCTCTTCTTAAATCTACTACTTAGAATCAACTTGGCTGCTCATTCTTCATTTTTACCTTCTATACATTTATTATAAATGGAGATAAAATGTGAAGAATTCATGGATGAGTTTAAAAACACAAAAGGCTGACCTTTTGATTTTTCTAGAAGTCAGAGTTAATTTTGTTGACTCCAGCTGTCACAGGAACAACATATATGGCAGTTCGGATGGGAACATAGCAACGTCCTATTCAGTACCATATTGAGTAAGAAATGAACAATCAGGTTGCAGTAATATTTCTCAGAAATTCCTTGTCCTCTGAGAGGTATAAACTCCTTATTAAATTGATTTCATTATACTTGCATAAAAGGGTAACCTGTGATTTTGGTTTTCTTATTTTTTTATTTTTTTTTATGAGTGGACACCTGAAAATACTCCATAAATTAAGCCTCACAGAAATTTATCTGGTAGCTGAAATAATATAAGCTATATTTTTACAATGCAAGTTAATAAAAATGTTTATTCCATAAACATGTAAAAATGTTTAGATTTTGTCATAGTTCATTGAAACTTTTTTCTTTTCAAGGTAGTCTTCAGTGACTTTTTTTCAAATACTTCTCTAATGCTTCTTTAGTCATCAGAACATTGATTTTTTTTAAAAAAAAATGATGAAATTGTCATTGTATATGACATATAACCAAGCAGTGAATTGAGTCCATTTTATGTTTTAGTGCTTCAACCCCTTGTTTGTCATCTGATGGACTCTCCTTAACTTTTGTGATTATACAAACGTGACTCTGAATTGTAGCTAAGGAAGAGAGATCTTGGCATTAGAATTTAGTGTTGACTTTTCCTTTTGTAATATATTATTAGCAACAATTTTTGTTATCTTTGTGTAAAGAACTACAAATATTTTAAGTATTTAAACTTGTATCATTCAATTTTTATTTATAATGCTGATCTTATGGAAACATTAAAATCCCATTAAAAAGTGCCATTAAGTGACTACATATTTTTAGTTTCATAAGTATTAGAAACAAAAACTGGCTTAATAGGTCTTGTGACCTTCACAGTAAGAAACCAGGAATTCCACATAGATCAATATATTATGATTTTAGTTCCAGTTTATAGAATCACAGAATCTTAATCATAATAGAATAATACAGTAAATATTTATTAATCACCTACTATGTACCAGGCACTCTGCTAAGTGGTGGGGACACAAATAAGGAAAGGAAAAGACACAGTCCTCAAGTAGCTTACAGTCTAATGGGAGAAACAATACATAAAAAGAAGCTTAAAGGAGGCTGGGGGGAGAAGAAGGTACCTGGTGTGGGAACATGAGAGTGGTGAAATTGAATCCCAAAAGTACAGCTAATAAGAAATGAGGAGCTCATTGGGTTTCTGATCCCTCCATATGGAGCCTTTGGGAGGGAGTTTTTGCTCTGCTCTCTAGTCAGAGTGGCAGAGGCAACTGAGGGTTCTGATGATATATGAATACCAAAGCTGAGGCAATGTGTGGGATAATGAATTTCCCCATGGGATTGCCTTTTTTTGGGAGTGGGGGCAGGGTGGAGCATAATGATGGTGGAATGGAATCCAAAGAGTGTAGCTAATGAGAAATCAAGACTTCACTGGGTTTCTTAGCCCTTTTTATACGGATGCTTTGGAAAGAGTCAGGAGTTAGGAGTTTGAGGGAGGAATTAAAAGGGATTGTTAGGGGCATTTAATTCATTTGATATATGACTAAATTCCCTCTATCACATAATGAGGTAAAGGAGAGAAGGGGAGAGAAATGGAGGGAAGAAAGGGAAGAGAGGAGATTGGGAGAGAAAGGCAAGAGATCGGGAAAAAGGGAAAGGAAGAAGAGAGAGAGAAAGAGAGACTGTTTAAGAAGAGAGGGAAGAGAGTGGGACCTACAAAACATTGTTCACTGAACTTGGCATAAAAGTCTAACTATCTTCTATTCTGGCAGACTTCTAGATGTACCATCAAAGGGATGGTTTTCAAACATCAAGAAAAGGAATGGCTTCATCAAGAGCCCATCATACCAGAATATCCTCAGTTCCTTTTTTTTGATAGTGTTACCCACAGGTAGATTAGAGAAATGCTATAGATAAGAGTTTGCCTACATTTTAGTGAAGTATTTGATGAACTCTATCTTTGTTGACAGATGGAGAAATGTTTCATTTTTTTAATATAATTTGACCTGAACCTGAAATTTCTTAAGTGAACAGGAATCCCAGTGAGAAAAATTACCTTGCTACTTTATTTCTGCAACCCTCTCATAACTTATAATCTGAGAAAATTGCTGAGAGTAAGTTAATCGACCTTCCGTAAGTACATGTTTGTGTGGAGACTTGAACCCTGGTCTTCCTAGCTCCAAGGCCAACTCTGTCCATATTGATATATCATTGTATAGCTCTCATTGCCTTTCCCTGTGACCCTGCAAGGGTTATTCATAATGGCTAGTTACACAATGGTTAGTCACATGGGCCCATCATTTCTGTGCCTTTGGTTGCAGTATGTCTGGACTTGGTGAATTTGCTCACTCAGTGCCATCTAAGTACTCTCTTATTTCTTCTTTACTTGCCTTATGTTTCAGCCCCCTCTTTGCTATTTTGTCCTGCCCTTTCTGTCCCGAATGTCATTTTGTTCAGCAGAAGAAGCAAAAACAAGAATGGAGTAATACTTCTACTCATTACTGTTAGTCAATATGACCTTGTCCCCTGAGCACAACCTTAGCCCTTTGTTCCAGTTCTTTACCCTATTATAGCATAAAAACTCTTTTTTGAAGCACGTAGTGTTCCTGAGCAAACCCAGGTCATTCCGAGCTTTAATATTATTAACACTATTCTTACCAGACTGGACTTATTGGTCTTTCCTATTCCTTCTCAGTTGCCTACCCTGTGGTCTGACCTATTCTATGTCTTTATTAGTATCTTAGTTGGTACATGAGTTTCCTTTTAATCCACCTGAATTTCTTTAAACAAATTCCCCTTTTCCTCAATGAATGACCTTTGACCCAAGTATATTGTTATTTGGTCTACGCCCCAAAGTGACCAAAGAAAGAAGGAAAGTATACATATGTACAAAAATATCTATAGCAGCTCTTTTCATAGAAGCCAGAAACTGGAGCTTGTCCTTTTGGGTAATGACTAAACAAATTATGGTATGTGAATGTGATGGAATATTATTATTCCATAAGAAAATGTTCAAATGCATAATGTCAGAGGAAACTGGGAAGTCCTCGATGAACTGATGGGGAGCAAAGTGAGGAGAACTAGATAAACAATTTGTAAGATACCTTTATGGTAAAAAAAAAAGACAACCCACAAATTTTAAAGATTTTAGGACTCTGATCAATGTAATGATAACTCATGAGCCCAGAGGACCAAAGATGAAACATACCACTTATTCCTTGCCAGATAAGTGATTGATTTAAGATGCAGAGAGTGATGTAAATTTTTGGGCATGGGAATTATGGAACTTTGTTTTGCTGGACTATGAATGTTTATGATGGGTTTTTTTTTCTTGTTTAAATGGAGGGGGGGCAGTGGGAGGGACAGATTGAATGCACATAAAATAAACAATCTCTTAAAATAAGAGAAATAAAATTCTGATGCCATAAAAACTTAAAAAGTTATAATTCTTATAGAGTATACTTCAGTGACTTTTAGAGATATTGTAGCAATTTTTTGTATGTAGAAGTTAAGGTTTTCAAAGACCATTCAAGCTCATTTGGTGTACAGCAGGGTTAGTTGTACCAAATTGCAAAGGAAAGTGCTGTTGAAAATGAAGTAGCCTAATTAATCCTCAGAAAAGAAGGAACAGCAAGGTGGAGTGGTCATTATTGCCTCTACTACAGTAGAGGCACAAGTTTTTTGAATATGGAAGAACAGTGAGATGATCCTTTTAAAACAAAACAGCTGTTGACATGAAGAGAATTTGTCGTGGCCTCAAAAAATGCAAATACTGGAGTACTGAAGATTTGGAAAAGGTATTTTTATTTTTTAAATGAAACTCACTTTTTCATTGAAGGCTATATCAAAACTGTTGTCTGAAGAAGTCATAGTGAGCCAATGAAATTTGATCTTCTGTAAAATTTCCACCCAGAAAAATATTGGGGAATTTTTTGCTTCCATTTGGCTTAGAACTATTTTTCCCATTGAGGGAAGATGAACTCTGAGAAATAGATAGATTTACTGAGAAGCAGAATTGTTCCAGATTTACAGAAATTTCCAAATACTGTCACTATGTTGCACTCTACCACTGTTACCAGAGTTTAAGGAATTTATCCTAGAGACAGAGAGAGAGAAGCATGCATCAGTACCCTGATTACAGATTTTCAACCCCATTGAAAACATGGGCTATTACCAAGATGAAACTTGGAAAAATGGACTGTTTGTAAAAAGGTAAACTTGCTCTCCAGTGTGATAAAAGTGTGGTTCCATCATGTAGCATTAAAGATGCATCAAAATTCTGTGATTCAGATGTTAGATTAGGTAAAACAAGTAATTTTAGCAGAAATAAGACATATTCTATCTTAAGTTTTTAAAGCTATAAAACATTTTAAAGTCTATTATATAAGGCAGTGAACTTAAGGGAAAGTAAGGAGGAAAACATTCATTAAATACCTGCTGTGTGCCAGACTAGCACTTTGCAGATCTTTCCTTCGATCCTCACAACAACCTTGTGAGGTAGGTACGGTTATTTTCCTTATTTTACAGTTGAGAAAACTCA